AGAAGGTTGAAGACAGATGCTCCAACATTATAATGAATTAGAGAATTTTTCAGTCAGTCAGCTGTCTCTACAAATTGTATAGTTTTGAAGTTATGCTTTTATGCTTACTATATATTCACGTAATATTTAATTCCTTCTCGGATCTCTGGCAGGGTTGAAGACTAGTTATTGTCTCATAATTGAACTTATGTTATTGAGTATTAAAGATGTTCCAGATTTGAAAGAATGGATTTCAGATGGTAATATAAGTTAAAATCAGCATAATTCAGTCACAGAATTGTAAAATGTTTAGTTAGGATAGATAGTAGAGAACTTTATCTAAATTGACAAATGGACTACATGTTAAGTATATATCATACTTTATAATTTACACAACTATTATGGTTGTGCTCAATTTATATTTGAGAGAAAGTGCCTTTTTATTGGACAAAAAGGGGAAAATACTGTGGGTTGCCCTGATGCTGTTTGAATTCTGATGTTAATTCTGCTTCCTCAAAAGGAGTTGCCCCCCAAAAGCAGTTGACCACATACTGAGGTGATCTCATGTGAACATTCTCCCCATTTTAACTGGTCAATAAAGGCTAAAGCCTGTGATTGGGAAGTGGAGGAAAAAGGTGGGACAGAAGGTCTTTAAGAGTGGGGACACATAGAAGAGGAGGACCACAAATGAAGAGAGGACGGAAGAAGAGTATGAGGAAGCCATGACAGATCAGAACTGCATGGCCAGGAGAAATTCCAAGTAGGAAAGGGTCTTATAGCTGAAGAAGAAGTCAGTACAGTGCTAGATCTGCCCAATCTAGGCACATAGCTTATAATTATAATAAGCTGACTGTGAGTTTTTTAGATGGACTTTTGGGGTTGGAAATTACTACAACAATCAGTCAAAATGCAGTTGTGGAGCCTAGTCACAAAGCACACATCTTGAACACAACTCTTGTGCATATGTCTTAGGCATCAATACAAAAGAGAAAACAGAAAGATTGCAAGAGCCATAATGTCAGGGTGTTTGTTGCGAGATTCAGTCCTCAACATGACTGCTTAAACATGACTGCCTGAACAAGCACAACCATACTCACACAAATGAGGAAATCCAAGAGGCTCAGTGCTACACAAAGAAATATAAGCAGCTAATGTTGAGAGCGGAAGAAATAGTCTTCCATGAAAAGGCACTCCAAATGATTATCTGCTACCAGTGTACCAGCTCTGAAAACATATATACAGCCTGAACAGTTTGCATTTATATAATTAGGAGTGAGTGTGTAAATTTGTGTGTGTGTGTGTGTGTGTGTGTCTGTGTGTGTATGCATGTGACAATAAAGGAAGAGTTCAGAATTTGAGAGTTTTGTAGATAGTAATTTATAAATTATTAAATCAATATCTTTACCTATAAGACCATAAATTTTTCTTTTTAGGGGCTTCTAGTCTATGTTATTTTTTTATGGCATTCAAAATGACCAGTGTGTTACCTAACCACTGGCTATTTCTATCTCAATGCCCAGCATGTAACTCAGGCCAAATATCTGTATCAGTTTCTGGTAAAGCTGGCTCTGCTATTTTATTCTATAACTCAATAAATATCAATAAGCCAGAAAACAGAAAGAAATATGAGATTATTTTTATCCTTTAATTTCTGTCTGCCATCTAGGTATCAAGTACCATAAATTATCTGCTCAGAATAGCTATAACTTAATTTCTGTCTAATACTAATATGGTAATATTAGCTCACATTTCTGTCACAGACTATTTCAGTAGATTGCCCACTTTAAGTAGCTTCTTCGAATTTTATACCAAGCAATTCATCTTCAGCTGTCACATAATCAATTTAAAATGTAAATCTACTAAGCTATCCAAACACACAACTGATGGTTTTAGAGATATCCATAGTTTATGAAACAGTGTTATGTGCTGAATATGAAATATCCTTTCCAGATTTGTTTGTTTAAACATTTAGGCTCTAGCTGGTAGCCTTGTTTTGAGAGGTTTGGAAACCTCCAGAAATTGAAACCTAATCGGCAGAAGTAGGTTACTGAAAAATAGATCCTTGTCTGTGTATTATCTTTGCCTCATTCCTGTTACACTCTATATGCTTCTTAGTCTATTTTGATGTGAGCAAGCATCTATCACACACTCCCTTACAATACAGGCACCTGAAACTTCACTTCCCTTGCCCTGAGGAACTGTATCACATAAAAACATATCAAATATTACAAATAACAAATAAAAATCCATAAAATGATACTTAAAAATTAGTGATATGTTTAGAAATGAAAAGAATTACGCAGATTATCCAATGAAAACTGTTCATTTTTTTTTCTTCCAATATCTTTCTTCTTTTTTAGGTCAGAAAGCAAGATACATCTTGGCCCTACTGTAAGAGTTAGCTGCAGATTCTTTTGCCATTGTTTCATTTCTTTGATGTCACTATCAGCAAAGCTAGCCTCAGACACATACCCTTGCCTCTGCTGACCTTGGAAAAGGATCATTTGGGGACATTTAAACAAAATCAAAATGTAAATCATGCCATTTTTCTTACTGGAGTTTAGCATTATTTGAAAGCTCACATGAGTTACATATCCTCCTATTTGACTTGTAAGAATGAAGATCTTGCTTTTTTCATATGGGAGCATTTCTAAATGTTGAAAGCCACTAAGAGATCCTTGCCAAAGAATCATCTCACAGAATGCCAGCCTCAAGGAGAACACTCTTTATATGAAAGCTCACCCGGTGTCTTTGATGATCTGTCTTATTAGGTTAGCTTCTGCAAGGTAAACTCCTTTGTTATTTATTCAAAGTCAGGCAGGCATGGTAGCTCATCCCTCTAACCCCAGCACTGGGAGATTGAGGAGAAGACTGGCACAAGTTTCAAAGCAGCTTGGGCTACAAAGTGAATTGTAGGCCAGCCAATATTACAGGATAAGGCCCTATCTCACAATGACAAAAAAAACATATTTGGGAACTGAAGTGGAAATTTCTGGTTTCTTTAACAATTCACTTGTGTCATGTGATGGATTTTTTTGGAATCTGTCTCGTAAGAGGACATCTGATTTTTTTTCTGAAAACAGATACTTAACAGGGCACATGATGACTGGAAAGAATATGATTAGAACCCCACAAATGAAGATAGGAGGCTCTTGCATTGGTATTCCATGCAATGCTTTACTTCTTTGCTGGTCTTTGCTGGATCGCTGATCTCACTTCTTCACTGTTCTTCACTGGTCTTCACTTCACACTCAAAAACTTCTCATGGTATTCCAGCTAATTCTAACCGCATCTGTTGATCCATGACAACTTAGTGGAGCTTTGCTGTTTCTGTTGGATCAAGCCACCACTACTGATTCATGTTTAATGTTTGCTATTAAACTGGACTACTAGTGACCTAAAAACAAACAGTGTAATCATCCAAAGGAACTGTTTCCAAACAGTTCCACAAACCCCTTTCCATACTAACCTTCTTTCTCCCCTACCTCTGGTCAGTGGGCTAGAAGAGAGGTTGAAGGATTTGAGAACCCTAAATAAAGAAGTTTTTGAAAAATCTAAGCCTTCGTGGAACTAATCTCAAGCAATAACCTTTACTTTCAGCCACATATATCAACCTGATCACAAGTAACAATCACAGTATATTATCACAGTCACCATTCTGCTCATATTCAGTGGACAATTTAAGCTATGTGACATTTGGAACTAACTTAGATGTGTACTCATCACTGACAAATAAGGTGTGGCCCTTCCGTACCATAAACTGAAGGCTCAGATCCTTACTATAGCAGCTGGGCTGTGCTTGCTGAGGTCTAAAGAACTGAAGAAATACCTGAGTCCCTGTGTGGTTTCTAGACTTATAACTGTCACTTGCATATTGGCAATTGCAGAGGAAGAACATTTTCATTGACTGTTAGGCTCCTCTTCTGCCCTTCTCCCTCCTTCCAGGTCCCATGTGCCCTTACCCTAATAACTATCTGATCTACAAACAAAGGTGCTTATTTATAAATTACTTGCATTTAATTTAATACTTTAGCACATTGTTTTAAATGTCATATAGCTTTCTACAACAATGTGATCCAATAATACAGAAACACAAAAGGCCTCTGGCGTTTTGTAAAGTCTCAATGACAAATTGTTACTATCGTTATTCACAAAGTCTAGAATACCACTGATAACATAGCTAATGATAAAATTCAAAAGAAAGTTATTTGATTTTAATAAGTAAAATCTGTGACTAACATAGCAGTTAGATTTCAAAATTATCATTTATTAATAAGCATATATAAATTTGATTGATAATGCCACACAACACCAAGGATGTAACCAAACCTTCTTGTCTCTCAGATATACCTAAACTTGTAATTTCTGTGAAAATAATTACTAAGAACTCTTTTTACCATGTTATTTTAGTGGAAGCACCTCATTTTTATGGATTTATACTGGACTAATAAGCTTTGGCCACAAAGAATTTCATAGGCTTATTTAAATGTAAATTTTTACATAACAAAAAGTGATATTCAGCTTGGATAATATAAAGTTTACATCATTAAAATTTGCTAATGTAACCTGTATGCTGCAACAATTAAAAAGAGGCAAAATAATCTTATTGTAGAATAATCATAAAATGAAACACACACACACACACACACACACACACACACATATATATATATATATATATAACATAAATATACATAAGAAATATTTTAATACAAGTTAAATTCACTTTTTGTCTGAGGACAGAGTTTTAAGGTAGAGTATTCCTTAGTGTTTATGGAGTCCTAATTCACCCTCCAGCATTCCAAAATAAATAATAAATCAACAATTGAATGTAATCTTTGAGTGATTTAGATTTCAGTGATTTATTTTAAGAGTATGAGCCATAAGTACTTTATAAAATGCTCTTTATCACAAAGCCATTACCCAGATAATAGTGTTTTTCCCTTATTACTGTGTAAAGATTCACTGTCTGCAATAAGGGACACATTTTGGAAGGAGAAGTATATGAAAATATTCTTTACTCTACCCCTAAGGTAGGCATTGCAGATGTGGCTCCTGTGTGTCATGTGCTTCATTAGGCGGCAGAGAGGAGAGAGGCTCTGTCTAAGCTCAATGTTCTGATCTGTGAATATATGAATGAATAGTAGCTTAACATTTCCGGAAAAAAAAGTGAGCCTGAGATGACAACCAGTACTGAGCAGGCACTGAAGTGTTCCCAGGGCATGGAACAAGCCAGAGACTAAACACACACACACACACACACACACACACACACACACACACATACCTTCTACCATTGGGCTGCAGGCACCAGGAAGGAGTGAGTCTAAAGAGTCTAAAACAGATGACCCTCACGAGGAGCCACTTGCAATTGGGTGGACCCAAGCAAGGAGCGAACCTGAGATGACCACCAAACTAATGCCAAGATGCTGGGGCAGGGAGGTACCCTGAGATGATCACCAGTCAGGTATAATGTGGTCCTAGGGGGACAGACCATCCCCAAGGTCACTCCTGCCCAGTGCTAGAGCATGACATTGCACTTTTGAAACCACTTCTGAGATGACCTCAGATACTTAAAGACCCTGGACACCACTAAGATGAGCTAGTAAATGATGGAGAAATGGAAGGGAAAATGAAACAGTAGGATGTGGGCACAGAGAAGAAAGAAGACCTGGGGAGACTTCGGGTTTGGGACCGAGCCTAGAGCAGGTCGCAGGCAGCAGCTCCGTACCCAACCGCAGAAAATCCAAGAAAAACAGGGACTCCCAGGAGCTTGAACTCACGCAGCATCCCAGGTAAGGAAATAGCAGCACTCACCCCAAACAGGGAGCAACAGGGACCCACTGGGACCCAGGAATTTGCTCCTGGCCTGGAGCTGGCTCCATCCGGTCTGGGCCCGAGCACTCGCGGATCCAGGGAGGCAGCTCTGCACCCAATCTCACACACTCCAGAGGAAGCGGGGCTCGCAGGACCTCTGTGCCAAGCAGGGTCTTGGGCTAGGAGGTGGCAGTGCTTGCCCCCGAACAGGGAGTGGCTAGGACCCACTGGGACCCAGGAGTTCACTCCAGGGCCCGGAGCGTGGGTTCCTTCCGGTCTGTGCCAGAGCAGATCCCGGGAGTCAGCTCTGCACCCAATCTCACAGAACCTAGAGGGAGCAGGGCTCTCCGTGGCTCAAGCTAGCTCAAGCAGTTTCTTAGGCTAGGAGGTGGCAGTGCTCGCCCCCAATCAGGGAGCAACTGGGACCCACTGGGACCCACTGGGACTCATTGGGATCCAGGAATCCGCTCCTGACCCGGAGCCCCGGCCCCTTCCGGTTTCCACCTGAGCACCGAGCACATCTTGGGCCTCATCTCTAACTCAAGCAGCAAAACCCATCCCAAACAGTTCTGACACAACCTAGATAATAGGAAAGACAGGCCCCAGTCAGAGACAGCACTGATAGCACAAAGGTGATCCAGATGGCAAAAGGCAAGCGCAAGAACACAAGCACCAGCAACCCAAGGTACTTGCCATTATCAGAACCTAGTTCTCCCACATTAGAAAGTCCTGAACTCCCCATATCACCAGGAAAACAAGAACCAGATCTAAAATCATTTCTAATGGTGATGCTAGAGGACTACAAGAAGGAAGTAAATAACACTATCAAAAAACTTGAGGAAAACAGGATGAAGTCCTTAAAGAAACACAAAAATCCTTTAAAGAATTACAAGAAAACACAAACAAACAGATGAAGGAATTGAACAAAACCATCCAGGACATAAAAATGGAAGTGGAAACAATAAAGAAATCACAAAGGGAGACTATCCTGGAGATAGAAAACCTAAAAAAGAAATCAGGAGTCATAGACACAAGCATCACCAACAGAATACAAGAGATAGAAGAAAGAATCTCAGGTGCAGAAGATACCTTAGAAAATATTGACACAACTATCAAAGAAAATGCAAAATGCAAAAAGTTGCTATCTCAAAATATCCAGGAAATCCAGGACGCAAGGAGAAGACCAAACCTAAGGATAATAGGTATAGATGAGAGTGAAGATTCCCAACTTAAAGGGCCAGTAAATATCTTCAACAAAATTATTGAGGAAAACTTCCCTAACCTAAGGAATGAGATGCCCATAATCACACAAGAAGCCTACAGAACGCCAAACAGACTAGATCAAAAAGGAAATACCTCCCGTCACATAATAATCAAGACTCAAAATGTACAAAACAAAGACAGAATTTTAAAAGCAGTAAGGGAAAAAGGCCAAATAACATATAAAGGCAAACCTATCAGAATTACACCTGACTTCTCACCAGATACTATAAAAGCCAGAAGATCCTGGACAAATATCATACAAACCCTAAGAGAACATAAATGCCAGCCCAAGCTACTTTACCCAGCAAAACTCTCAATTACCATAGACGGAGAAACTAAGATATTCCATGACAAAACTGAATTTACACAGTATCTTCCCACAAATCCAGCTTTACAAAGGATAATAGCAGGAAAGCTCCAATACAAGGAGGGCAATCATACCCTAGAAAGAGCAAGAAAATAATCCTTTTCCATCAAACCCAAAAGAAGATAACCACACAAACGATGTCTCCACTATTAGCAAAAATGACAGGAAGCAAGAACGCCCTCTCCTTAATATCTCTTAACATCAATGGACTCAATTCCCCAATAAAAAGGCATAGGCTAACGGACTGGATAGGCAAACAGGACCCAGCTTTTTGCTGCTTACAGGAAACCCACCTCAGTGACAAAGACAGACACTACCTTAGAGTAAAAGGTTGGAAAACAATTTTTCAAGCAAATGGCACTAAGAAACAAGCGGGAGTAGCCATTCTAATATCGAATAAAATCAACTTTCAACTTAAAACTATCAAAAAGGATAAGGAAGGGCATTTCATACTTGTCAAAGGAAAAGTCAACCAACATGAACTCTCAATTCTGAATATCTATGCGCCAAATACAAGAGCATCGAATTTCATAAAAGAAACCTTACTAAAGCTCAAAACACACATTGCACCTCACATAATAATAGTGGGAGACTTCAACACCCCACTCTCAGCAATGGATAAATCATGGAAACAGAAACTAAATAGAGATACAGTAAAACTAACAGAAGTTATGAACCAAATGGACTTAACAGATATCTATAGAACATTTCACCCTAAAGCAAAAGAATATACCTTTTTCTCAGCACCTCATGGTACCTTCTCCAAAATAGACCATATAATTGGGCACAAGACAGGCCTCAACAGATATAAGAAAATTGAAATAATTCCCTGCATCCTATCAGATCACCATGGTCTAAGGCTGGTCTTCAAAAATGACAAAGAGAATGGAAAGCCCACATTTACTTGGAAACTGAACAACACCCTACTCCTTGATAATCAGGTAAGGGAAGAAATAAAGAAAGAAATTAAAAACTTTTTAGAATTTAATGAAAATGATGACACATCATACCAAAATTTATGGGATACAATGAAAGCAGTGCTAAGAGGAAAATTCATAGATCTAAGTGCCTACAAAAAGAAACTGGAGGGAGCATACACTAACAGCTTGACAGAGCACCTGAAAGACCTAGAACAAAAAGAAGCTAATACACCCAAGAGGAGTAGAAGGCAGGAAATAATTAAACTCAGGGCTGAAATCAACCAAATTGAAACAAAAAGAACTATCCAAAGAATCAATAAAACCAGGAGCTGGTTCTTTGAGAAAATCAACAAGATAGATAAACCCTTAGCTAGACTAATCAGAGGGCAGAGAGACAGTATCCAAATTAATAAAATCAGAACTCAAAAGGGGGACATAACAACAGAAACTGAGGAAATTAAAAAAATCATCAGATCCTACTACAAAAGCCTATATTCAACAAAATTGGAAAATTTGGATGAAATGGACAATTTCCTAGACAAATACCAGTTGCCAATGTTAAATCAGGACCAGATAAACCATCTAAACAGTCCCATAACCCCAAAAGAAATAGAAGCAGTCATTAAAAGTCTCCCTACAAAGAAAAGCCCAGGACCAGACGGTTTTAGTGCAGAATTCTATCAGACCTTCAAGGAAGACCTAATCCCAATTCTTTTCAAACTATTCCACAAAATAGAAACAGAAGGTACACTACCCAACTCATTCTTTGAAGCCACAATTACACTCATACCTAAGCCACACAAAGACCCAACAAAGAAAGAGAACTTCAGGCCAATCTCCCTTATGAACATTGATGCAAAATTACTCAATAAAATTCTAGCGAACCGAATTCAAGAACACATCAAAACAATTATCCATCACGATCAAGTTGGCTTCATCCCAGGAATGCAGGGTTGGTTCAATATTCGGAAATCCATCAATGTAATCCATTATATAAACAAACTCAAAGAAAAAGACCACATGATCATCTCACTAGATGCTGAGAAAGCATTTGACAAAATTCAACACCCCTTCATGACAAAAGTCTTGGAAAGGTCAGGAATTCAAGGTCCATACCTAAACATAGTAAAAGCAATTTACAGCAAACCAGTAGCCAGCATTAAACTAAATGGAGAGAAACTTGAAGCAATCCCACTAAAATCAGGGACTAGGCAAGGCTGCCCACTCTCCCCCTACTTATTTAATATAGTATTGGAAGTCCTAGCCAGAGCAATTAGGCAACACAAGGAGGTCAAAGGGATACAAATTGGAAAGGAAGAAGTCAAAATCTCACTATTTGCAGATGATATGATAGTATACTTAAGTGACCCCAAAACTTCCACCAGAGAACTCCTAAACCTGATAAACAACTTTAGCAAAGTGGCTGGATATAAAATTAACTCAAGCAAATCAGTAGCCTTCCTCTACTCAAAAGATAAACTGGCTGAGAAAGAAATTATGGAAATGACACCCTTCAAAATAGTCACAGATAATATAAAATACCTTGGTGTGAACCTAACCAAGCAAGTAAAAGACCTGTATGACAAGAACTTCATTCCCCTGAAGAAAGAAATCGAAGCCGATCTCAGAAGATGGAAAGATCTCCCATGCTCATGGATTGGAAGGATTAATATAGTAAAAATGGCTATTTTGCCAAAAGCCATCTACAGATTTAATGCAATCCCCATCAAAATTCCCACTCAATCCTTCTCAGAGATAGAAAGAGCAATCTTAAAATTTATTTGGAATA